AATTAATCATTGATTGGATGACGTGCCGTGCGAGCAGGTGTCGATGATATTTCAAAAGTCCATGGAAGAAGGTGAACTGCTGGAGGAATGGAAAGCTGCCTTTATCTCCCCGATCTACAAAGAAGAGTCCAGGCTAGAGTCCGAAAACTATCGCCCCGCTATTATAACCTGCATTTTATGCAAGGTCATGGAACGACTTAATAAGGGGCATTTAATAACCTTTCTGGAGCAGAGTAGCCTACAATGTTGAAGCCAGTATGACTCTTGCGGAGCTTACTCATGCCCTACTAGCGGTCTTTATTAGCATTAAAAAAATAGGCAAGTGCTATAGACCAGGGCTGTCCAGTGGATACCATTTTTCTTCGAATTTAAAAAAGCGTTTGGTAACGTGCTCATCAGCGACTATCACGAAGATGTAGCAGTTTAGAATTCGAAACAATACTTTTAAGTGGATTAAAAGTTTCCTGTCATTCAGGTGGCAAAGAGTAATTGTTGTTACCACAACATCCGAATGGGTGCCAGTAGAAAGCAATGCGCCACAGGGTTCTCTCGGGTTTGACGTCAAGTTTTTTCCTGCATTTCAATAGGACAGAAAAATGAGGCACTTAAGTGTTTATTGCCTTTTCTGTTAGTCTGATGCCGTTGCTTACTGGCTCTAGAATATCTGGTTTCTAGCTAACTTGGTTGTCTTCATATTAATAGGTGTTATGACAAATTTAAAATAATTCACTTCGACCCAACTGTGAAAGTCTAGATGCATTACTTAGGGAATCCTGACTGGGCAGTCAGCCTACTGTATCAGATTTGGTGGAGTATAGACGTTGCAGTAGGTTGGGCGGGTAACTTGACCCAAGTGTGACAAAACTCGCGTCGTCCGGCGGGGCCTCGTAGCACAAGTGGTTAGAGCGTTGGCTGTACTAAAGCCTTCCCCCTTACTGCGTGGGTTCGAATCCCACCGAGGCGCCGAGTTTTTCTCAGCTGAGTCAAAGTGTCTCTCCTATGCCTTACACCCCTTCCCACGTCAAATGTCTTACAAATGTCTAAACAAAGCCGTAACCCCTATAGGACTCCATCTCTACATTACACTCGTGGACTTGACGAAAGCTTTCGATACGGTGAATCGCGATGGACTCCAGAAAATCCTGTTGAAATTCTGCTGCCTTCACCTATTCACGAACATGGTGCGTCAGCTCCATGACGGGATGATGGCACCCTGTTAGTTTGCCCATCATCCGGAGGACGCGTCATAGCCAGAAACTTTGCCAGATGGTTTCTGAAAGGGAAGTCGGGAGGTCCAGGGCGACCGAACTACTCCATGGGTTACGACTTTGTTTAGTGTAAAAGCGACCCGAGTTAGCATGTGCTGCCTATGCGCATGCATGTTACCATTTCTGTAAGACATGTGACGTGGAAAGGGGAGTAAGGCATAGGAGAGTAAGGGGGGGATGGAAAGTGGGGGGGTGAGGAGGGAGGATAAAGGGTGGAAGGAGCAGATGGAATGGGAATGGGAAGGGAGTTGCCAGGTGTGGGAACACAACACCGGACACACCATCTGGCTGCGCACTTCTCAAACTTATTTTATATTTGATCACAATAACAAACATATATTCGTGGCCTATTTATGGGGCGCTTACATTTGTTTCGTGACCGGTGGATCCCCTAAATACGTCAAGAAGTATTTATTCTGGTCGTCGTTGTTTAGGGTGACATCCCAATTTCATGACCGGGAATCTAATAATCAAGTTGCAGATAGTATTATATTATTGACAGCTTACCGAATATACTTAAGTAAACCTTTAGTTTACTGACACAATTGTATTGCTGTCTGGCTATCGTGAACAGCATTAAGGCCCAAAATTACTCCTGCTTCTGTGACGGGCGGAAAAGTGATACATATACGAAAAAACACCCTTCCTGGTATAAGAGGCCTGCTCCAATTTTTGACAATATGAAGACACTTTAACTTGGGTCACTTGGGTCAAGTTACCCGCCCAACCTACTGCAACGTCTATACTCCACCAAATCTGATACAGTAGGCTGACTGCCCAGTCAGGATTCCCTAAGTAATGCATCTAGACTTTCACAGTTGGGTCGAAGTGAATTATTTTAAATTTGTCATAACACCTATTAATATGAAGACAACCAAGTTAGCTAGAAACCAGATATTCTAGAGCCAGTAAGCAACGGCATCAGACTAACAGAAAAGGCAATAAACACTTAAGTGCCTCATTTTTCTGTCCTATTGAAATGCAGGAAAAAACTTGACGTCAAACCCGAGAGAACCCTGTGGCGCATTGCTTTCTACTGGCACCCATTCGGATGTTGTGGTAACAACAATTACTCTTTGCCACCTGAATGACAGGAAACTTTTAATCCACTTAAAAGTATTGTTTCGAATTCTAAACTGCTACATCTTCGTGATAGTCGCTGATGAGCACGTTACCAAACGCTTTTTTAAATTCGAAGAAAAATGGTATCCACTGGACAGCCCTGGTCTATAGCACTTGCCTATTTTTTTAATGCTAATAAAGACCGCTAGTAGGGCATGAGTAAGCTCCGCAAGAGTCATACTGGCTTCAACATTGTAGGCTACTCTGCTCCAGAAAGGTTATTAAATGCCCCTTATTAAGTCGTTCCATGACCTTGCATAAAATGCAGGTTATAATAGCGGGGCGATAGTTTTCGGACTCTAGCCTGGACTCTTCTTTGTAGATCGGGGAGATAAAGGCAGCTTTCCATTCCTCCAGCAGTTCACCTTCTTCCATGGACTTTTGAAATATCATCGACACCGGCTCGCACGGCACGTCATCCAATCAATGATTAATTTATTCACCTGTTCCGGTGCGCAAACTCTCCCAATTCCAAAGTGCCTTAACCCTGCGTAGTTTTAACGGTCTTTTTATTGGGTTGTGGACAATCGACAATTTCAGACGTCCCTTCAGCAGCACAACTGTAAAAACCTTCACAAACAGCATGTTTTGAATGTTATTTTCAAAATAAAGCATTCCTCTCTCTCTCTCTGTCTCTCTCTCTCTAACCTGTGCCCTAATATTCCTGTCGACCAGCTGTGGCAGAAAGAAAAGTAGAAGCAGCGGGAGATTCTTTAATCTAACCACAGTGCAGCGCACATTCGTCCCGTTGTGCCTTGAGAGATCAGTCTAGAGTCCTGGTTCGACCGTCGATTTCGACGATGTCCACCGTGTGCCCCACAGCTGCAGCAGCGGTGGGAGCAGGGACGGTGACTTGCGCAGGGGTTTATAGTGCCAGTAGACTTGCGTAGCATCTACCTACACTCTCTCCTCCTCCCTCGCCCGAGCCCGGTGTCAAGACAGAGTCAAGAAGACCGGAGACGAGAGAGGCCGCAGGTGGATGGCTCGGACGGATCCTCACCTTGGCGTTCCACCACACCCCCTGGCCCACACAAAAATGACCAGGATTTCAACCAACACAGCAGAGATTTGGAGGCTGGCACGGCCGAAGCCGCACCTAGGCGTGCCGCCAACGCCTGTCTCGGATCCCACATTGTGGTGAGAGTGCCATAAAGGCCACATTAAAAAGGAGCCATTGCAGCCTGACTCTCAGACCGCCTCCAGTGAAGGAGGAGCTCCAAGTTACCCCGTCAGTTGGCAACCTTCCAAGCCATGGCTTTTAGCGCACCGTGATAGCTTTAAGCGCGTCAGATTGATTATAGTAAGGAGACAGTGCGCTGAGTCGTCGACCTCACTCTCCCTTCCCATTCCCACACCCCAGCCGCTGTCCGAGCCGGTCAGCTGACTGGTGCGGGGAATGGGCGCGGTGGCTGACATGGTCGACTGACCATGCCTGCGCGCGCCACAGCACGACCTGGCCCCCCATACACACACAAACACCAGGATTTCACACAACGGGGGTTGATCGGCTAGACTCTCACTTGCGTGAGAGGGCCGTTGAAGGTGCTGCTTCAGCCCGTCCCCAGCCCACCAGTCCGCCACTCCACACAACACACACACACAACGTGACGAACTGCGTGAACCGAGAACGGGCGTCAATCAGCAACCTTCCGCTCTCATGAGTGCGCATGTGGTCGAATAGACCCATGCCTTGCGCGAAGGTGCGAGGGCAGTGTGGGCAGTGGAGGCGAGTGCGGTGGGTGTAGGTTGGTGATCCAGGCACTGGTTCGCCAGTCTCTGTGCGATGGATTCGCAAGTGACCGACCAGGCCGATGCGTGAGGTGAAGGTACGGTCGCAGTGAGGGCAGGTGTAGTCCTGATCCTCATCACTGGAATCGGGAGAGGTGGGGGTGGTGTCGGTTGTTGTGTCGGGGTTGATGTGCGAGACGGCCGCCTGAGCGGCCGCCGCTGGGGCAGTGGGGGAGGAGGAGGAGGAGGAGGAGGAGGAGGAGGAGGATGGGAGTGGTGATTGAGAAGAATTGTCAGAGTTATTTGGCGGCGGAGGAGATGAAGAGGCAGGCGGGGGGACGATGGCTGGAGCAGTTCGAGTGGTGCAGTTGATCCGAAGATGTCCAACAAGTCCGATTCGAGCCCGCAATGTCCGTTGACATCGAGGACACATTGGAAGCGGTTGTGCGGCGGCGTTCCTTACTGGGCGAAGTTGTGATTTGCGGGCTTCACGTTTCGCTTTGGCGGCAGCGATGCGGTTGGCTTCGTAGATCGCAGCGCCTGTCTTCACTGTCCTCCTCCAGGTTGGCTGATCGAGTGCGAGCTCCTCCCAGTTGGTGGGGTTGACTTGCAGGCATTTCAGGGAGGACTTCAGGGTATCCTTGTAACGGCGAATCTGGCCTCCTTGACGGCGAGAACCCGTCGCGACGTCTCCTTAGAAGAGTCGTTTGGGTAGTCTCTCGTCGTCCATGCGCACCCGGTGGCCGCTCCAGCGCAGCTGCATTTGTCTCAATATGAAGTAGATGCTCAGGATTCCCGTCCGTTCCAGCACATCGTTGTCGGGGATGCGGTCCTGCCATTTCAGCCTCAGGATGCGACGGAGACAACTGAGGTGGAAGTGGTTCAGTCGACGTGCTGCCTCGTGTACACCGTCCATGTCTCTGCTCCGTACAGTAACGTCGGCAGGATGACGGCCTTGCACATCTTCAGCTTTGTGCTCAGTTGGAGACCGTGGCGATTCCAAACTGTGCTTTGGAGGCGTCCGAAGGCTTGACTGGCTTTCGAGATCCTGTTGGCGACTTCGTCGTCGATCTTGGTGTTGCGGGAGAGAGTACTTCCCAGGTACGGGAAGTTATCTACCACTTGCAGTTGGGTCCCATTCACGCTGATTTGCGGCGGCGCGTTGGGGGCTATGGCTGAGTTGGGCGGAGGTTGGTGAATCACCACCGTCTTCTGCGTGTTAATGACCAGACCGAAGTTCTCGCAGGCGGCGGAGAATAGGTCCATGCTGCGTTGCATCTCCGCTTCGGAGGTGGTGTTCAGGGCGCAGTCGTCGGCGAAGAGGAGTTCGTGCACGGTAGTTGTGGATACGCGCGATTGGAAGTTCATGCGCCGTGGATTCAGGAGATGACCGTCCGTCCTGTAGGCGATGCGGATCCCGGGGCGTTCGTCGCGGTAGGCGTCCATCAGCATGGCAGTGAACATACGACTGAAGAGGGTTGGTGCCAGCACGCATCCCTGCTTCACTCCGTTGGTCACTGCGAATGCCTCTGAGACAGCTCCGTTGTCCGTGACTCGCGCCATCATACCGTCGTGCAGCTGACGCACCATCTGAGTGAATCGCTCCGGACAGCCGAATTTCTGCATGATCTTCCACAGTCCTTCACGATTCACCGTGTCGAAGGCTTTCGTCAGGTCCACGAAGGTAGAGTACAGGTGGGTCCGCATCTCCTGGCACTTCTCCCGTAGTTGACGGGCGGCGAAGATCATATCCGTTGTCCCACGATGACGACGGAAACTACATTGGCTTTCCGGCAGAAGGCCCTGTTCCAGGTGGTTATTGAGGCGGTTGAGAAGGATGCGAGCGAAGATCTTCCCGACGATGTTCAGCAAGGAGATGCCACGGTGATTGTCACAGACTTGGCGGTTCCCTTTTCGCTTGTAGAGATGCACGATGGTTGCGCCCATGAAATCTTGCGGGACTTCACCTTGACGCCACATCTCCTGGAAGAGCGCAGTCAGGTGATCCATTAGTTGGGGACCTCCGTGCTTGTAGACCTCAGCAGGGATCGCGTCCGATCCGGGTGCTTTCCCGCTGGAGAGCTGCTGCACCTCCCTGATGGTTTCCTGGAGAGATGGCGGGAGGTCGAGGTCCGCGTTGGTCTCCACTTGCGGCAAACGCTCGATGGCGGTGTCAGAGATGGCGGAAGGGCGGTTGAGGACGCCTCGGAAATGCTCGGCCCATCGCTGTAGGATTTGCGTCTTCTCAGTCAGGAGAGTGCTGCCGTCGGCGCTGAGGAGAGGAGCAGTGCCCTTCGTCGGCGGACCGTAGACAGCTTTGATCGCAGAGAAGAAGTTCTTCCATTCGTTGCGGTCCGCGTAGCCTTGGATCTCCTCAGCTTTGCAAGCAGTCCAGGCGTCCTGCATCTCGCGCAGTCGTTGCTGAAGCTGGCGGCGACTGCGATAGAAGGCAGCTTTGTTGTCCTCAGTGGGGTGATCTACGTAGGCTTTGTGTAGGCGGTTCTTCTCAGCAAGCAGATTTCTGATGGCGGCGTCGTTGTCGTCGAACCAGTCCTGGTGTTGGCGGGGAGCGCGACCGAGGACGGCGAGCGCCGTCGCCTGGACCGTGTCTCGCAGTTGACACCAGCGGTTCTCCACGGAGGCGTTCTCGGCAGCGGCGGCGTCGGCGGCGATGGGGAGGTTGTCTAGCCGTTGAGCCAGCTCATTGCTGAGATGAAGATGGTGAGCGGGCAAAGACAACAAGGCAACATTCAGCTTACCTGGGGGTCGCTTACCTTGTGGTCTCCTGCGAGGCTGTAGGCGAATACGCATCTTCAAGATGACGAGGCGATGGTCGGTCCACCCGTCAGCACCCGCGATCACCTTCGCCACCAGCACGTCCCGCTGATCTCGCCTCCGGACGAGGACATAGTCCAGCAGGTGCCACTGACGCGACCGAGGATGCCTCCAGGTGGCCTGCTCTCGCTCCGGGAGACAGAAGAACGTGTTCGTCAGGATGAGGCGATGTTCTGCGCAGGTGCGGAGGAGAAGCAGGCCGTTGTCGTTGGAGCCGCGGAGACCGTGGGGACCCAGCACTCCTCTCCAGGCAGTATGGTCTGTGCCGACGCGGGCGTTGAAGTCACCAAGGACAAACAACTCGTCCGCCTTCGACACAGTCGCCAAGAGGGCGTTCAGGTCCTCGTAGAACTTGTCTCTTGCGGCGGCATCGGGGCTGCTCATCGGCGGAGCGTAGGCGCTGATGATGGTGGCGAATTTGCCCCCACCTCGGAGAGGCAGACGGAAGCTCATCAGGCGATCGTTGATTCCCTGCGGCAAACAGGGCGGTCGTCCCACGATGTCGTTCCGGATAGCGAAGGCGACGCCCGCGTCTCGTCGCTCTGCCTTGGGTCGACCACTCCAGAAGAAGGTGTAACCGGGACCCACCTCCTCCAGTTGGCCTTGTTCGGAGAATCGGGTCTCGCTGAGTGCGGCGATGTCCACCTTTTAGCGCGCCAGTTCTCGTGCCACTAGCGCCGTCCTCCGTTCCGGTCGGTTGCTCCTCGGATTGTCTAAAAGGGAACGAACATTCCAGGCTGCCAGAGTGAGCGGGCTCACCCTGCCAGTCTGGCGACTGCGGCGGCGAAAAGTAGGAGTAGGAGAAGAAGAAGAATAGGCTGGAAGAGGAAGAGAGTGATTGTTGTTGTTGTTGTTGTTGTTGTTGTTGTTGTTGTTTCGGTTTTGGCTGTTTCGACCGTGTTTTTTGTCTGCGGCCACGGCCAGCCTACAGACAGCGTGGTTCCCAGCGATCTTTAGGGCACCTTTTCTAGCCCCCTCCCCCTCGCGGGGGCAGGCAACGCATCCCTGAACAGGGCTGCCCGGTTATCCCAGACGGCTGCCGGACTCCACTATGGGCCACGACTTTTTGTTAGTGAGAGAACGACCCGAATTAGCCTGGGACCTTGGTGGTGGTGGTGATGTGATGGAGTGAGTAGGAGAGAGCATACACACTACCTAACGCTATGGGACTTACAGCTAGCTAGAGTGGACAAACAGACACAGTCATCAGTCAGAGACAAAGTGAGGGCACCACACAAAGTCAAGCACCGTAACACCTAGCTGTTAGTAGTGGCATAGACTGACGGACAGACAAACGCAGCAGGCAGCGAGGGTTTCGTCTAGCTATTAGCAGACAGACTAGCATACAGGGGCGGGCAGCAAGAGCAGCATACGACACGGAACTTCAGCAGACAAAAGGAAGAAACAGAGCAAATGCACTTACCTGAGGGGGAACTTACCTGGTGGCCTCCTGCGATGGTCCAGGCAGAGCCTCGTCTCGACGATGTCGACGCGAAGATCCATCCGGCCAGCGAAGACCACAGTACCGCGTGTGCAGGTGCACGCACGGATACCCTCACCTGGTTTAGCCCGCCGGTCGAGACGGTTGCCCGGGGTGTGGCCGCTGAGCAGAGCTCAGCTACGTGGAGCCACAGGTGAGAGTTAGGTGCCAGCAAATGGACGCTAGGCGTAGTCTCACCTGCGAGCAAGTGAGCGACCACCACGACCATCACGTGAACCCACCGCTGGACACCCCTACACCACACACTACAGGCACACACACACAAACACAGCCCCTGGATGGGCAGAACTGCAAGTGTGTATTTGAACCAGAACGGAGACCATACTGGCTGTCCAAACTCCGCGCCGCCTTAACTACTGTCACACATGCGTATCGCATGCAGTAGGCGGAGGCTCTCAAGCCACACCAACCTCATCATCAATTTGTCGACAGACTCGGATGGTCGACTGGTACATGGCTCCTGCCTAACGTAGCCTTCAGGACACTCTCAACGACGTAAGATCCGTAAATGAAGCCTGCTACGTGTGCGGATCGGGAGAAGCTCTCGTGTGACATACGTAGATGGGCTGTCTGACTGTATCAGCCACTGCGTCTACACCCACCTTCGGTCATCTCGCCATCGGAAGACGGTGGGTGTTTGGAGAATGAGACGGACGCAGCGCAAGTCGCACCTGCGCCCACCGCACGGAGCAGCGATGGACGTCGTCGCTCGTGATCGCCGAAGCACCGAACTTAACACTCAGTGGGCCATCCAACTCTTCTGAATCTTGAGTGTACCGTCAACTTTTGCGTATTCATGCTAGGGAGTCGCTATTTCGCCCGGAATGTCCATTTTTTAAATTTTGTGTCGAATTCGCATTCGTGACATGTGAAAAACTGGTTTCTTACTACCATTCGACAAAAAAATTAGCATGCCCATCGTCAACGCATTGAACTCTCCGATTACGGTCGACTACAGAGGAAAAGGCTAGCCACCTACAGTTTAGGAGAGATGGCAAAAATGCACAAGTGTGGAAGTAGGTGGACCCTTACCGACATTTGTAGACCATGATATCTATGCTTCTTGACTGAAAATCATGGAGGTCCGGCGGCACAGAACTGGAATGAGAACCTATTGAAAACACAAGTCGCCCCTTTAGGGGAAATCGAGAGGTCATCGACTGATGCTTCTGGGTCCAGCAAAACTGCATTAGTCCTGTTTCAGGGGATAGCCTAACTAACCTATTTTGAAGTCCCGATGCTAATACAGATACTCTAATTGGCTGTTGTCTACCAATGGCTTGGATTTGGTAGCGCCGACCAAGCGTCTAGGTCTCTTGGGCCGCCTGAGATAAGAGAACCTCTTTTGTTTTAATCTTCACAAGCACTTGTCACGATTACGATCCTGCCTCCGGTCTTCCTTGCTCCCTCTCTCAACACCGGGCCCAGGAGGGTGAGGGAAGAAATAGTGCGATAGGTACTGCGAAAGTAGACTACCGCGGTAAACTAACTGACACGTAAGACACCGTCCCTGCGCCTGCCATGTTGCGGGCACACGGCGGACGCCGCCGGATACTACGGTTGAGCTGCCGAAGCTGTCCTTCATAGGTCCTACACGAAGAGATCCACAGTTCAACCACGTTCTTCACGAATGTGTCACACAATCACTGTCAGGAGTCGTCTTCATTGTGGCGTTTTTACCAAGGCAATGACCTATAAAGGCCAACAAAAAAGATGTCAAATAATGCAAATAGCTATGAAAACGATCTGAGCATGGAAGCCCCTACCGTAACCTCGATTGGAAGGGGGGATAGAATTAAACGGACGTAAGAGGGCTATCTAAAGTCTATTCCAGAACAGTATTTAATAACTTGAATTTGGATAAACCCCAGACGCAAAAAGACCCTGTGAGGAGAGTTGGACTGCTAAGCGTTTGGATCGTTGACAGCGAAATATGGAGCCCGCAAGAGAGGCAGACACGACGGCAGACTTGACGTAATCTCAAACACTGGAGCCAGCGGCTGACAAGCCGTAATTTGGTAGTCCGAAAGAAATGTCCAAAAAGTGGCCGGCTGATCATGAGATTTTTTTCAAAATATGCAACACATAAGAGGTTTAAGACTACATTGGCACGGCAAAATAATGGGTGAGATTCATGCAGGGCGAAAGGAGGAAAGACTGGGTGGGGAAAAGCATGGGGTGAGTTCACGCCCCCGTATAAAGGGATAAAAAGTATACATATAGCAAGCCGACAGGATAGGCAACCAGGCTGCATCGATTCTGCAGACCCCCCATCGGTAACATTTTGTCCGCACTGTAGGCAGACCAGATCGTACCCAGAAACTGAAGCAGGCAGAGTAAGTCGCAGAAAACAACAGCTTACCGCAACAAACAGCCCGAAGCCGTGCCATGCAATTAAATTGAAGAGTGAACTGACGGCACACATAAGAAACTGCGGCAAGAGGCAATAACCAATTACTCCGAGGCACTGAGCGTATGCAACCTCGCCTCCCAGTAATCAGGAATATATATCGACAAAGACAAGACACAATGGGACGAGTATGTTTCACAGTGCAACTAGATCGGTGGGCTATCGTCCCACGATCATTAATGTTGCAGGGAATACTGGAGAAGACGACGGGCCTGTAAATCAGTGGTAGTGCGTTCGACTTAGTGCTCAGTGACCAAGGAGTCTGGGTCCGAACCCTGGCTTATCCAAACACGATGTTTGGGTACAGCGGGCTGACAGCGTCTAGCAAATCAGAAATGACCATCTCAGTTGACCCGGTCTTTATTGATACCTATTCAGAATAAACAGCATTTGATCCTGATAGGAAGTAATGCAGAAGAGGCGAAGGACGACTAGGAGGAGGAGGAGGAGGAGGAGGAGGAGGAGGAGGAACGAAGAAAAACTGGGGGGATAGATAAGGGAAAACCGTAGGAGGTGCGAAAATGTCGGAAGTAAGAAGGAGTGTAAGGAGGTAGAAAATGGGAATAGGGTGTGCTGTGGGCGGGGAAATTTTCTTGTGAACCATGGATGCCGTGGTCATCAAATGCAACCTCATTCTCTCGTCTTCCATCGCGTGATATTAAAATGATAACCGGTGGTCCCATAAAGTGAGTGGATTAATTAATCTTAGTTATGGGCAGGTAGTTGAGGTAGCAATACGCATGAGCCTTTCAGCAGCCAGTATGTAATATTAAACCTACAGGTAGGTGCAGCATAACAAACCCTTTTAGAAAAAACCACACGAAATGCTTGCAATTTTGCACATGAATATGCAGGAGGAAGTCTAATCTTTCATGGCTCAGGCTAATATTCAGGTATACATCTGTCAAGGTCATTTTTAAAACTCTCCATGAATGATGCCATCACAACGTCTGCTCGGTGGACATTCCAACGCTACATCAGTCCGCATATGAAGAAGTTTTGTTCATCTAGCCTTGCCTGTCGAACGAGAACCCTAAATGAGTGAACCAGACGGTGGCTTTTGGTAAAATGGACAGGCTGAAACATGATCAATGCACAGTGTGCTACTGTCGTTAGAGGTCACCTCATGTTTGTCTCCCACCAAAGTAAATTACATTCTTCACGGACTATGGTGTACCTCTGTGGTAGTGGATATTACGATGCGGAGGTGTCTTCCAGGGTAATATGAGTCTTTTTGTCCTGGAAGAGGGACTGGTCCCATTCCCTATCGTCGTCTTGTTATGAACCGTCAGGTTGCTATGCCAGCGACCCCACACGCTGGGACAGGGCCAGAACCAAAGAGCCAGCAGTGAAGTACGCATTGGCCAGCCGGCTAGACAGGCAGCCGGCGAGAAAGGGCGAGTGAGGTGGAGCTTTGTTCCGCGTCAAGAAAACTAGGTTCGATTGCCAACAGATAGACAAAGCAGGCCCGCCGCGGGAGAGCAGAAACACGCACACCGTGTCTCGGGTCCGGCCGCTCTAGTGGCAGGCGCGATAACAGCCGGCCCCCCTGTGTGTGCCGCTTCTGCCACCGTAGCCCCCACCCCGCTCCCGCCTCCGGCCCCAGTCACAGAGAGAGAGAGTTCTCGGTGGTCGTCTTTCAGCGTCGCCCGACCGCGCTGCGACGACAGCTGCGGTGCCTCAGTCGTGGTGGTGGTGTCGACGGCGGCGGCGGTCTGCGGTGGTGGTGGCGCTGGCACGGGTGCTGCCGCAGCGCCGTTCTTGATTGGCCACCTCTGCCGCGAAGCCCACGCGAACACTGCGACATAAGCACGCAGGCAAACTGGCTGCTTGTCCACCGACTTCGGGAAATGGTCAATAGAACGCGATATCCGGTGCGTTGTGGGGTTTCGGCTGCGGACTCGAGAACATGCGCCTGGACGGTGTGAACCAGGGGTGGGGCCCTGTTCGGTGCAGGGTTACCCGCAGCGTGTTCTCCGTCGGATCAATCCCGCGGAATTACCCGAATTCCTCCTTCTCCTCCTCCTCCTCCTCCTCCTCCACCTGCTCCTCCTCCACCACCACCACCACCTCCTCCTCCTCCTCCTCATCCTTATCCGCATCCTCATCCTGCTCATGGTTCTCATTTTTCTCGTCGTCCATTCCTAAGATAATCTTGTTATTCGTTAGTTTTGCTGATATCATGTTACCAGAATTGTCGAAATGGATATCGGTCAACTGTTAACAGATTTGGTGGTATTCAAATACATCAGTGCAATGAGATAAATTTTTCTGAAAATGTGGAGTTAAAATTCCTCCCGGTACTGTTAAATGCCGTACGTCGACTGAAGTTTATCAGTTGCATACGTTTTGACATGGAGCAAGGACAGGCATTGGAGGTCAATGGTACTGCCGAGAACTAATGGGAAGGACTTCGGGATACCATCAGTGCCAACACCACATAAACGCTCGCTCGCTCGCGAACCTCGACAGTAACAGGACTGTTTCGAAGGTAATGAAGAAGAAATTCACCGCCTGCTCGCCGAATAATACAGGCTATATGACAGGCCGGCAATCGTAAATGCCAACGTCCAGTGAGTCCCACACGGAATGGGTGCAGTCGTGACTTATGAGATGTCTACGGGGCTTTCTGCTCCCTTATCCATCTTGCTCCGACGGCACTAGGTGTTCGAATTCGGCCTCCGAGCCGTTCTCCTGTGCCTCTGGTCAAATCAGCTTATCCTTCACAGAAATTCGCAATAATTCGCAGCATTTCAATTTTGCCTAGCAGACTTCTCTGAAAGGGCTTGGAATAGAGATCACAAGAGGTTTAAGGTGCTGGAGCCTATGTTGAAACAATGGTCCTGCCGCTTGCCGCCTCCAAAGGGGAGTTCACATATTTCCATATTTCCTTTTATGTCCATGAATTGAATTTCCACGCGTACTTTACTGGTAGATGGATGCATTTTTTCCTAGGCAGAATGGTATTACTGACAAAGACAAGGGAGACTGGAATGGCCATTTCTGGCTTATCAGCCGTCGTCAGCCAGTCATACCCAAGCCCGAAGTGCGGAACACGCGAGCCTCGATCTCGCGACCTGTTAGTTTAGAAGTTCACGCCTTTACCCCCACATGTTTTTCTTTTCTTTTTGCCAAATGACCTTTTGCACAATTTTTCCGATGATGCCAAGCCGCCTTATTCCGCTTCGAATTTGGACAATTAATAACAATATACCTTAAAGGAAATAAATCAACTGAGGCTTGCTTCGGTATTTTTTCTTTACGTTTGCTGTGGGTTCTCTTTAGTCGCTAACCGTGAAATGTGCTAGCCGGGTGTTTAAGATGACTCAAATGCCGTAAAATTTGCCAATATAGGCTTCTCCCTGAACTTTAAAACTGATGAAAGCGAATAGTGTTCATAGGTAGCGTTATCAGACACTGTCAAGGTCTCTTCAGCACTGTGAATGATCGTTAATGAGAAACATACAAGATCCCTAGTCGGAAAATCGGCGTTTTCGGTTATTCCAAATCAGGACTGTATCACAGCATTCGTACGTCACGGCAAGGCAGCGAAGGATAAAAGATAAACAATGAAAAGGGAGGGGGAAGAATGTTGTTGAGTATGTGGACATGCGAAAGTGGGGAGGGGGGAATGCCGACCTAACTCTGAGGTCTGGGGACAGCCGGGGAGGTTGTTCATACCACCAACTACTCTGTCCCAAGCTCAAACCCGCACTTATCTTAATGCACCACACCGCACCATTTTACGGTAGTCTGACCATCGCAAGCGACGTGGCCACCGCATGCACCGCAGAGTGGGCGCAACACCAGTAACTTGTGTGTGAATTGATTTATAGGGATGCGGACTTGCGCAGTACCTACCACGCTCCTCCTCCCCCCCCCTACCCGCAAGACTCCTATGGCAATACAGAATCAAGATGATCGGAAGTGTGCGTAGTGGGTGACAAGTCTTAACGGGTCTTCTACGTACATCGCATACTACCTGATCCCTTGTCCATAGGCCGGCCTTGGATCTCGCATGAGTGAGAATTCCACGAAGGCCACGTTAAGAAGAAGCCATTACAGCCCGACTCTGAACCCTGGATAGGACGAAGTAACCCGCTCAATCGACTACCTGCCAAGCTGTGAATTAAAAAGCGTCGCGAGAAATTGTAGTACGCCAAAGTTCTTATGGTGATGAGTATGCTAATATGCCACGGGGAGGAATTACCTAATGTCGTTCATACTCACCCTTCCCTCCTCTATAGACCGTTTGACTGTCCGAGTCTGTCAACCATCTGGGAATGTATTTAGGTGCAGTGACTGACAAGGCTGAACGGCTCATTTTCCCGCGACGAACACGGCCTAGTCCTCAGCTCATGCATCAGGTTACATCAAAGAACATGTTTCTCACTGAAACGAGATGCATATGATTTGGCATGCGACGATTCGCCGGGCACACCGGAGTGAAATAAATGAATTACATGGTTGCTGCCCGAGTAGTACATGGCGTATTACGGAGAGGCGTCATGTGTATGCGTGTTATGGTGTAGGTTCGTGTGTGGTGCGGGGTATGTGTATAAGTAGGAGGATGGTCTCAGGGTTTGTTCGAGTTCTTTATGCCATTATTCAGCAAACCATGGCCTTAGCGGCCTGGTGTGGGCTGGCAGTTCTCTGACACCTGGTCCCCTACCGGAAGATGAGCTTACGGTTTCACCGAGTATATAGACCATGAACATGATTGCCCAGTCATCATTCCCTTTCTGACCCATGGCCGTGGTTACTGAGTCAAACGTCCAATAGTCTGCATTCGGGGAACGGGACCTGTTCACAGCCCACGTTTATGCATGTGCTGAGGAGCATGAGGCGTTTGCGATATCTACCAGCCAGTATGGGGACAGGAGGAAGTGTAAACTAGCCTCACAGAGATCACCTAAAATTCAAGTAGCTAACATTGCGCTAAAGCTATGAACACTTGGTCGACCCTGTTACTGGGGCATTATCCGCATTTAATAATGCCCCCCCCATAAGTGTTGACGGAGACCCACAGAGGTCTGTCGTGAACGTGTCTATCCTTACATCAGATACGTACCTCGGGCACATACACGTTTGTTATAGCAGGCGTTTTATTAGGTGAGAGCGCCAACATCTGTTATCCCGAGATCTGTAGGAAGTATCATAACGCCTATACAGAAAGGCATGCAGCAATATTTCCAAGAACTCTTCATTTAGAAAGCCGAAACAGACTGGAATGGCAGAGTCTAATCTACTTTTCGTCATTGGCCAGACGTACCCCCTCCAAGACCAGGCCGGGCCGACCAAGGATCAGGGCCTGAATCAGTAGGCCATCGAGCACGTGCAACAAACGAATCACCACCACACTCGCGAGGTTACTTATTTTTGGTTGCTTTGCAGAGTCTTCAGAACACCTAGGGTTGACCTTCACCGGTAAATCGTGTTTTCAAGGCGGTAGAATTATCTCCAAACATGCATGCCTTTTAGCAAACAGCATGGGAAAATTTGAGTGAAGAGCCTTTTAATGCGCATACCGATGTATGCGAATTTCCCCAAACCGAATGCTCAGAGTGAGATCAGGATATTCGACTTCCGTTTACTCCACATTTATGCGTTTTCTGGTGCACACTTATGACACAGGAACCGAGTGAGGTTTATGAATTGCTCGGCACGGGGCAAGGAGTGCCTTTAGGCTACACTTATTCGTGATAGCCGATGTCGGGCAAACCCCGTGCCTCGGCCCAGTCCAAGTGCGTAATGAAACGAGTCCAAAACCACAGGTTTTTGAAAGCGAACCACCAGTGACGGTGCACATGGCATCGGCGGAGGCTGGACTCATGCGCGTACGTCTGTCGATGACTGGTGTGTCTTCATCTGTCCAGCCCGGTCACCGTCTCAAGACTGTGCGGTGGCTCGAGGTTGATGAGAGCAAATAAAACAGTTGTTAACGTGCCGCGTCAACAGGTGCCTCCGTTCATTATGTAGCAACCTAACGAAGTTAACTAGACACCAATATACGTGAGTTGGGATAAGAATGTTTAATAATTATGTGTTCGACAACGATTCGGGCGCTCCAAATAGTTAGGGATTTCTCAGAACTTGAATAGCTTTAATTGAGAGAGGGCGAGAGCGAGTGGTAAAGAAGAAACTCTCACAGGCTAAACTGGTTTAAAACTATTCTGACCCAATAAGCCTTCTCACACACCACCAGTAACATGAAGAGGAGTGGGGATAAAAAAGCGGTAATTATTAAGGGAAAAGCAAAGTTCATGCGATCTCTGCCCCTATGGTTTTATCTGGTCGCTGTAGGCAAGGTGTTAAAACCACTGTCAGGAGTATAACTTAATAAGAACCCCAACAACGGCAAACAACTGGTATGGATATAAGTAAGTAAGAGCGGGAAGCCAAATAGAGAATGATTTTACCTGAACTGCAAGCGCGTCGTACCGAAATATGCAGCAACCGTATATACGTGCACGACAGCCAGGTTTGCTATCGCACAATCAGAAAACGTATGATGACAGACGGGGTGCACTTGCCAAATGGGTTCCGGTGAGGGAAGTCCGATAGCAAGTTCTTAGGAAGGTCATTTGTCTTTCACATCTGACTTTTATGTGCGCACGAGACATTTGTCTTACAATTGCAGAAGAACGATCGTTCAGACCGGAAATTAGGCCCTTCAGATAGGAAACGCCTAGCGGCCAGTACGTATAGTTGACAGGCCTGTCCATCATAGCTCAACCGACAGAACACTCTGTTCGACTTCCGTAGATCAGCACTTAGATCCCACCTGGCAGCACAAGCTTACTGACTGTGTGACTTCCTATATTTCCATGCCTTGTGTCGAGTTAATTGTTTGTGCGTTAAAAGAGTTCAACCTTTTTTCGAATCATTTGGCTTTCTTGGAAACTGAACTTGTCCGCGTTCATTCCATTTCTCAAAATGCTGCCTTCTAGCTGTGCCATCTAACACAACTGAGGGTATTTTCTGTAAGATCATAATATAAACTAACTCAATAGTTCCTCAATAACTATCGAAGACTATTGCGTTCTAAAACTTGTTGCAGATCCTATGGAAGATTCAACTATCCGGACATCTAGAAAATATTGTTGATCGCAAAATTTGAACGTAAAGGCAAATTGTCTCTT